GGGCGATTTTTTTATTTTTTATTAATTATTTTTTTTGGAAGGGGGAGGGAGTAGGAGGAAGAGGAAGTTGCATGCCAGGGCGGTCCTAGAGGGCGGTTGGCGGACGTACTGGTGTGGTCTGCTCCTTCTTTCCTATCAAACATCTATCGTCCTTATCTCTCCTCCTTCATTTCTGCGTATGTTAAGTCCCTCTCTTGTAATAGCCTTTATCCCCGGCAACTATGTAAGACCTATCTGTGTTGCAAGTGCCGTAAAACAAAATCTGTACTAGGCACGCGCGGTCCTGGTTCGCCTCGTTTGACCAGGCCAGAGCCGTGAGTGGATAGTGGTCACTCGGGTAGGACAGTGCACATGGCGTGCTGGTCACTCGTACCGCGACAACTGGGAGAAGGGCGTAACTGACTTTTTCACAGATGTTCAAGATGTTTTCCACTTCAGGCGAGGAACAAAGCGGTTTGATTAAATTTACGAAGTTTCGTTTTTAGTAAGTCATTGTTTTACGGCACTTGTAACACAAATAGGTCACATAAGTGCCAGAGATTAAAGAAAGTATTACTAGAGAGTGACAAGCAGGAAGCAAAATATATTTAAAATTTGTCTTTTCTAATGAATCAAAAGGACGGAATATTATTATATGGAGGATAGTTGTTTGATTGGAAAGAAGGAGCAAACCACAGCAGAGCACCCGCTAAACACTCGCATGATTCACTGAACAAAATGTTAAATGGTGGGAGGTTGGAGGGTGCCCCTGATAGGTTCTGCTTCCTCCCTCTCCATGTGTACTTTCTGTCTATCCATGAAGTGATGTTTTCTCAGCGCAATAGGGCTGCTATTGCCTCTAGGTGTTCTCTTTACAGAATTCTTTCTCTATCACTCATTCTTTTCTCTCTCTCTCTCTCTCTCTCTCTCTCTCTCACACTCACACACACACACACACACACACACACACACAAAACTACTAAAAACTAACACACCCACATACACTCAGTAAGAAAAAAAACAACAACACAAAAACAACAAACTCAAAACAGAAAAAAAGAAAATCCAACCCAAAACAAAAACAACCAAAAACCCCCCACTAAAACACCGCACCAAACTCCCCAACAAAACGCGTCTTTGTGTCCGGAAATACCCGTTGCGCCAAACGCTCCCTACCCCTGATAAACGCGCCAACATTTTTATGGGGATTTAGAAGTTAAGCCTTTCTCAACCCCCACTCGAGCGCGCGGTCACTCAGAAAAAGCCATCTCTTTTTTTCCCTGAATGGCGGCTCGGACAATGTCCAGCGAGCGGGCACGGGTGGACAGACTCCGGACAATGGGATGACCCCTCCCGCACACTGACCACTGGTCATCACGGCCGGCCTAGGCCAACTGTCCTTACGCCTCTCTGTGGCCGGCGTCATCCCTCCTTGACCAGTGCCCATCTGCCCACAGTTTCGATGACCTCTGGGGTCACCACCTCACCCGCTCATCCACGAGACAACTCTGCTGGTTTTACAGGGAGTGGCTCCGGCCCAGACTCCGGGGCTGACGCAGGGTTGTGGTTTTTGAAATATTTCAATTATTTTCATGTTTTTAATGTCCGTGTTTTTTGTCTTGGTTTTTTACCAGTTGGATTATGTAAGTGTCCCAGATAAAAGGTGTAACAAGAGACTGACAGACACAGAAGGGAGGAGAGATAGGGACGATAGATGTTTGATAGGGAAGAAGGGAGGAGAGATAAGGACGATAGATGTTTGATAGGGAAGAAGGGAGGAGAGATAAGGACGATAGATGTTTGATAGGGAAGAAGGGAGGAGAGATAGGGACGATAGATGTTTGATAGGGAAGAAGGGAGGAGAGATAGGGACGATAGATGTTTGATAGGGAAGAAGG